TGCAGAGGCTTTGTTAAAGGGTGAGTTTAGGAGTGTTGGTGAGTTTTAAGAGGCAGTAGAGTCGAGGGATGCTGGGATTTTGAAGAGTGAGTTTAGAGGAGCTTAGGAGTGTTGAGCGAGGGAAGGCTTAAGGAGTTTTAGGTGTAGGTGAGTTTAGAGTGTTGGTGAGGTTAAGGAGTGTTGGCTGAGTTTTAGGGAGTGTTGAAGGAGTTAATGAGTCTAAAGGAGCGATAGGAGGGTTTGCATGAGTGTTGAAGAGTTTTAGGAGCAATAAGGAGCTGTTGGTGCAGAGTTTTAGGGAGTGCCGAAGGAGGTTTAAGGAGTGATGAGGGTGGCTGAGTGTTGGTGAGTCTGAGTGATGCAGCAGGTAAATTTGAGAGTGTTTCTGTAATGCATTCTGCACGTTAGTAAGAGAGTTGTTGTTGTTGTTGTTGGTGGTGGTGGGGTGGTGGTGTGGTGGTGGGGAAGCGGCTACATGTTATGCAGATGTCACTACAAACAGAGAGAGAGAGGGGGGTGTCATCAATCAGGTACACAACAGAAATCGTCCATTCAATAATTAAAATATGATAAACAGTAACTTGACACACGAGGTGGCTGTCAATTACAGGAGACTCACTACGGTACTATAACAACAACAACAATCCAGAGCACCGCTACCACCATCACCAAAATAGATCCGTCCATCACCACCATCACCAATAATATGAAGAAACAAAGGTGATAAAGAGTGGGTGACTTGGTGGTGGACAGGTGTGGTTTGGGGGTGTCTTAAGGAGTGAGGGGTGGGGGTGTCTTGGTGATGGACCGGTGTGGGTTGAGGTGTCTTGGTGATGGACAGGTGTGGCGTGGGGCCGTCTTGGTGGTGGACAGGTGTGGGGGTGTGTTAGAATACTAACTCCTTGTAAGACATATCACCAAAGAGACACGTCTGAGGAGTGTGATGTATATACAGTACAGTACAGAAGGTAAACATGACCACCGCCAACCAGTCAGCCAGAGCAGTTTGTGTGATAAGTTGGTCTTACAAGAGAGGCGCCACCTCACCTCCACCCACCAGTGCTGTCACACACACACACACACATTAGGGCCGCATATCAGCTGAGTTATGATAAATTGGACATAAGTGACTCTGATGTCGTCTTTGCACTGACAGAATAAACCAACAGTTCATCGCGTCCAGCACAGCCACGAGCAGCATGTTGTTACGACCATCAACAAACGTCACTGTTGGCAGTAGGCAGACAAACGTACGTACGTCTGGCGTAATGTCTTTTTGGTGTTTTCATTGAGGGTTAGAGAAATCCCTAGACACTGCTGGAATGCTCGTGTTGGCGCTGTTGTCGATACGGAAACATTGTTAGTGACGGATGGAAGGATCGCCAGGTATTCATGATCGCTCGTGTGCCAGACAACACCAGGACATCGTCAGCCCACATGACAGTTTTGTGTTCGTTGTAAGTGTTGTTTCCGGAGGCGACTGAGGTACCGGGGAGTGACTGGTACTGGTGATGATGGACTGGGGACTGAGGTACTGGAGGTGATTGGTACTGGGAGGACTGAGGTACTGGGGAGGACTGGTACTGGGAGTGACTGAGGTACTGGGAAGGGATTGGTACTGGGGAGGACTGAGGTACTGGGTGAATGACTGAGGCTCAAGGAGTGAATGGTATTGGGGAGGACTGGTATCGGGAGACTGGTACTGGGGAGTGACTGGTACCGAGGAGGACTGTTGTACCGGGAATGACTGTACTGGGGAGCATTGTACTGGGGGTGACTGGTACTGGGGAGACTGGGTACTGGGAGTGACTGTTGTACCGGGGAATGACTGGTACTGTAGGAGTGACTGGTACTGGGGAGTGACTGACGAACCGGGAGCAGTGAGTGACTAATTGAGGCATAATAGGAGTTACCACCTTACTCGAGTACAATGAAGTTCTACACAGCATAACCAAACCTAACCTAACCAAACCTAACCAACCCCAACTTATCCACCAGTCTCCTCCTCCTAGTTTCTCTCACATTTCCCACATCTTTCTCTCATTAAAATTGTATCTCTTTTTAAATACTATATCACCGAGCTTCAACAATTAAGGTCTGTAAGCGCGTCAGTAGATAAACGATAATTACACTAATCATTATTCACGAGTTAGTATAATCTTTGGGTTCTTCCTCTTATAAAATATTTTACAAGTTATCGTAACAACTGCGACGCACTTTATGGTACGCTGTATACAGACATGCTACGGACTCCAACAGACAGACAGACAGGCTACGAACTCCAACAGACAGACAGACAGACTATGGACTCCAACAGACAGACAGACAGACAGACTACGGACTCCAACAGACAGACAGAACTATGGACTCCAACAGACGAACAGACAGACTATGGACTCCAACAGACAGACAGACTATGGACTCCAACAGACAGACAGACTACGGACTCCAACAGACAGACAGACAGACTGGACTCCAACAGACAGACTATGGACAACAG